ATGTGGCCTCGCGATGAGATTGACGCGGTATTGGCGCGCCTGCCTGGGGCGGCCTTCGGTGGCCGCGTTGGTTCCGAAGCCGCAGCGGCGCGGGTCGAGTTCGTCGCTGGGGCCGACCCTGGCGCGCGCGAGGGCGGTCGGCCCCTCCTGTGGCACGATGGAATTGCACGCCACATGGCGGAGCTTTGCGAGAGTGTGGATCCGAGCGATTTTGCCGACGAGAGCACGCGACAGTGGATTCTCGACAATATCAAATCGGGAGCTGCCCCGTTCGACGGGGCGAGCGAGCCAGGCGATTGGCCGACGGTCCGCATTTCTCGCGCCCAGGTGCGCAGGGGCGGGTCATGCTGCCCCGCGTGTTCGAACCGCCGCGCGGCTTCGTGCACGGGCGTCGTTGGCGATCCGCGCGCGTCAGCGCGCAGCTGGGGGCTCCGCGGCCCCATCGGACGCCAGAGGCCGGGGCCGGGCCCGTTGCGGCGGGCGGCGAGCTCCCCGAGGCCATGCGCGATCACGCGAAGCTTCGCACTGCGTCGCTCGAGCGCGAGAAGAAAGGCAATAAGCTGTCTTGTTGCTTGCAGGCGCCCTGCGCGCGCCTCCGCGAGTCGCGCGCGGCGCGATGTTGTGGCAGGCGCGCGCGGCCGAGAAAGGCGTGGGCGTTTTTGCCCCAGAGGGCGTCCCCGCGGAGGAGGCGACGCGCCGCTTCGAGGCGCTGCGCCTGTCTCGATGATCCAGGGCCTGGCGCAGACGGCCAGGGGCCGCGGCCGCCCGTGGATCGGTTCCCCCGACGAGGGGGACTTGCATATCAACTTGAAGCCGCCCTGGTTTGAGCATCAGCTCGGGGGGGGGCCGAGCCCGAGCGCGGGCGGCGCGGCGCGCGCGCCCGCCAGTTCGCGGGCGCCAGCGCTCGGAGTGCTCGTGGGATCGGGGGATTTGAATCAGAGAATCCGCGAGTCCCTGATCGCGAGGAGAGCCGCGTCGGCGGAGACCCAGGTTGATTACCTAGGGTTTACCAACTTTACGGCGTGCGCACGCCGTCGTGGGCAGGAGCGCGGCGCCCTTGCGCGCGCGCGCAGGCTCGCCTCATGGATTGGGGAAGGAAGTCGATTCTCGCCGGTGCGCTCACGCATGCGAAGTTTCTGGGTTATCAATTCCAGATTCTCAAGGTCATGGCCGCGGCGGCACCGCGGGCGCCGCCCCCAGTGGCTGCGGCGCGAGGTCGCCGAAAAGCATGGGGGAACGCGCGCGGCGCATGCGTGCGACCTGAGGCTGCGGCGAAAAGATGGAGTCAGGCGGGGGGCAGCGTTTGCGCGTCATGTCGTTGTCGGGGCTGGTTGCGTGATGTTAGGCTGGAGCAGGACAGGCTGTCCGGCGAGTCGGCGGGGGCAGTTCTGTCTATCCTCGACTGGGGGGCCCGCGGCTCCCATGTGTCGTTCGGCTCGTCTTTGCCCCCAGTGCGCGCGCGCGGCAGGTGCTGGCGGAATCCGAGAACAAAGTAGCAGAAAGGCCAAGGGCGTCGGCGCCGTGGCGGCGAGCGGCAGGGGCTTGGGGGGCGGCAAGGACGGGGGGGCAAGTCCGCGCCGCCCCCATGCGCCACCGCGCTGGAGTCGTAGCCCAGCGAAGCCGGCCAAGGGGCGCAGTCGGCCGGCCAGGCCGAAGCTGGCCGGCGGCGCGGCTCTCACTGCATGGACCGGCCTGTGGCGCGGCCACCGCGGCGCGCGCGGGTGACTGCAGGCTCCGCCGCCCGCGCGCTCGCAATTTCCCGCGGCGCTGGCGCGCGCGCCCGCGCGGGGCGATTGCGGCGGCGAGAGCGACGACGACTCGCCGCGCGGGCTGTCCAGGGCCTCGGATTGCAAGAGCGCGTCGGACGGCGATTGCACCGACTATACTTAGAATTGGGCGTGGGCAAATGTCCGTGGGGATGCGTGGACAGAGTGCAATGAAATTGGCTGCGTCAGCGCCGAGACACCTCCGCCCACCCCCCTTCGCGTTCGCATCCGCATCGGGCCTGAGTGCGCGCCGCGCTTGGTGTTTTCTGAGGTGGGGGCTCTGAACGCAGAGCCCTGGGCAGATGGCCCCTCTGGCTCACCGGGCGTGGGCGAAAGCGTTGCCGGCAAGCGCGGGCCTCGCCCGGATCGCGGCCAGCGCGCCCGCCCGCCGGCGACGCGGATGCGCCGCCAGCGGGGCCGCGTGCGCGGGCGGAGCAGCCGACCCAGGAGAGGGCTGATCACGCTTGCGAGGGCCACTGGCCAGACGCGCCGCGACGGCGCGCTGGGGGGCAGCGCGGCCGCGGCGCGCGCGGGGCGCAGGTGCCGGCGCCGACAGTGTTGGCAGCAACGCTCAGGCGCGTGCACAGTATGCACACGGTGCCGCGTGGCATCGTAGAGGGAGTTGGTGCGCCCGCGCGCGCCGCCCCCGTGGCCCCGCTCTTCTCGCGCGCTGGCTGGGAAGGGGATTCGCGCGGGCAGGTGCCCCGCGGCGGCGGGCTGAAATCACTTGCGCCGTAGGGCTGAGTGCAGCCAAGTTACGCAAGTTTCAGATGTTCGCGGTATTCAGAATTTTGCGCGTGGAAGAAGTCCGCCATGCAGCGCGCGGCAGCGGTGGAGCTCCACGCGCAGGCACTCGCGGCGGCTGGAGTCCAGCCGCGGCTTCCGACCCCAGTGGCGCGCGACGTCATGATTGCGTTTTGCTATCGTGCCGGGGCGCTTGCTCATCAGTTCAGTTCCCTTCGGCCAGTCCTGAGCCTTCTGCGGGCCGACGCGGGGGCCTTGGAGCTCGCGCGCGCGCTCGTTCCGGGCGCGAGGGAGGCGCGCGCTCGCGGGTAGGGGGCCGCCCCGCCAAGGGGGGGGGATGCATTGCAGGCGGAAGACCCGGCAGGCGGGCGATTCAAGTCGAGGGCTACCGCTGGGAATGTGCGCGCCGTGGAGACACGACTACGTGAAGAGGCGCGCGCGAGGGGGCGGCGCGCGCCAGCGCCAAGGCGGAGAGGCCCGATTTGGCGGACTCTTTCACTGTATGTTGGCAATTCTGCCTACGGTTCGGCTCGGAGGTGGTGGAGTTGATTTCGCCGAATCATTCGGAGGTGATCACGTGCGCAGACAAATGGGCACCTCAGGTGTGCATCGGATTCCGGCAGCGAAAGGGATGCGCGAACCCTGACTCGGCGAGCCGTGCGCCAATGAGCGCTGGATCGGCTGGGAAAAGTCGCGCGGGCGCGCGCGCGGGTGTGGCGAAATTGCGCTTGCGCGCTGCAGGGGCGCAGGCCTTGCGGCGCGCGCACGATGTGCCAGCGCCTGCGCCCAGGAGTGCGCGCGTTCCCGGCGCCCACCTACACCTAGGCGCTGTCGTGCGTCAAAATAACGGCGGCGCGACTGGATCTTCCTCGGGCGTTCGAGCGGGGAGCTCATTGCTTCCGGCGGGGCAGGGCCGACCAGGCCCAAGCGCGCGGGCTGCCGTTTGCGTGGCCTCCAGCTGGTGCGCCACGCCAGGCATTAAAAGAGGGCGGCGTGCTGGCATTATTCCAGACGGGAGGGCGGCGCGCGACGGCGGCTTTCGGGTTCTCCAACGACGTCGATGCGATGGCAGCGCCGTGCGCGGGGGGGGCCCGTGCGCCAGGTACGCAGCGGCAAAAACAAAAGCGTTGTTGCTGGCGGCTGAGTCAGCCATTCATCATTCCGATTCAGAGGAGGCCCCAGGCTCGCAGCATTGGGGTCTGGGGCGCAAGGGAAGCGTCTGCGGCGCGACCAGGACGTGCCAGAAAGCGCCCCGGCGAGCCAGGGGCACCGCGCGGGGGCCCTGCATGGGCAGGCCAGCGCCTGCGCGGCGGCCGCACTTGCCTGAAATCGCGCCTGGGTCTGGAGGCGCCCAGCGCCGTGCAAGCATTGGGGCCGGTCGTCAGCGCGCTCAGCACTGGGGGCCAGCTGCGCTGGACCAAAGGCTTCCCCGCTCCCGAGCTGTCCGCCGCTCGGCCCAGCACCGCGCCAGGTGCGAAGCCAATGCCGGCGCGGACCTGCCCCGAGCGATTTCACAGGGCGGGCGCGCGGAACGTTTGCACCGCGGGAGACATCGCGCCGAGGGGAGAGAGCAGATCGCGGCGTTCGCGCTGTAGGCAGTGTGTCGCTGAACGCATTTGCTCTCCTGCGCGCGTGCGTGGCGCCGAGGGCCGCCGCGGGGAGTGGCGCGCGCGGGTCGCTGTGCCGCCGCGGCGCCGCGCTCGAGCGGCGCCGCGCTCAGGAACAAATCGCTGCGATACTGGCGCAGGAGAGCGCGGCGACCCAGCGGGGTTGCCGCTGCGTTCGCGCCCGCCCGCCATCCCTGGGCCCTTGCGGGGCTGCCCGCGTGGGGGGGGGGCTTGTCGTTGCTCGGGGCAGGTCGAGGTCTCCGCGGTGGCCGCGGGGGGAGGGGGCGGCCGGTCGTCAGTGCGCTCAGCACGGGGGGGGCAGCGGCGCTGGGCCAAGGGCTTCCCCGCTCCCGAGCTGGCCGCCGCGCGGCCCAGCACCGCGTCAGGTGCGAAGCCAATGTCGGTGCGGACCTGCCCCGAGCGATTTCTCGGCGTTGGGCGTTTCGGCGAGGTCGTATTGTCGCAGGCGGTTTTTCTCTCCCCCCCCCCCCCCGACTTCTCGACGAGAAATGGGGCCGCTCAGGAAAGGAGGGGGGCCTTGGGATACACCCCAAAGGGGCTGTTCGGGCGCGCCCCTATCGAGGATGGACGCCCCCCCCCCCCCCATTGTATATCCCAGGTTTTTGCCCCAAATGTTTGGTCCATTCGAAAATCTCCCTAAGCCTGGGATAGGGTCGACGTATCCTCTTGTGATAGTGGCCAGGTCCCTGGCAACGAGAGGAGGCGTGCGCTGCGTTGTTCGTCGCCCGTCCGCATCGTCCCGCCCCTTTCCTTCACCCCTTCTTCAAAGGATGCGTTGGGAACAAAAAAGAAACATATCGGCCTCTTGCGGGGCCCCCGCCCGGCCCAGGGACCGTCGAGAGACGACCTGGGATGAAGAGCCGATCCCGGAGAAGGGGTCGAGGCCTTCGGGGGTCCACTTTGTTCGAAATCATGGCGTCGGGGGTCTAAGGGATGTGCGCAGTGGAGGCCCATGCCACGAAACACCCTGCTCGCCTCCAGGGTGCCCTGGGTTTCTTGGGTTGTGATGGCTTTGCCATGGAAAACGTGACGTTCCCACACCAAAGATCAATGGACGTGCTGGGGTCTCAAGGTTGGGTTTTTTGTGGAAGGTCTCTTGTGGACAGGCCTCCACTGCACGCCACGTTTCCCGAGATCCAGCCGTTGCGATTCTGTTGACGCTGGGCGCTTCCTCATGGCGTCGGGCCCTGGGACCACCACAGACTGATCGGGTTCGCAGAGTACCGCAGAAGGGTGGGGTCTGGGTCTCTCTGGTTGCGATTATCGGCAATGTCGCAATTGTTTGGCGACGTCCGATCACGGGGGAGGGAGGGAGGGACAGAGGGAGGGAGGGAAGGAAGGAGGGAGGGAGGGAGGTAGGGAGGAGGAGGAGGAGGAGGAGGAGGAGGAGGAGGAGGAGGAGGAGGGAGGAGGGAAGGGAGGGAGGGGAGGGAGGAGGAGGAGGGGAGGAGGAGAGGAGGAGGGGGAGGAGGAGGAGGAGGAGGAGGAGGAGGAGGAGGGAGGACGGAGCGGGGACGTGATGGCAAAAAGGCGCTTCGCGGGCGCAGGGAGGGGGCGGATGTCCGGTCCGGGCGGTGAGCTCGAGAGAACGGCAGGGGAGGGCTGCTCTGCAGGCCTGCGTGCAGGAGTTCTCTCGCAGGCCTCGAGGTTGGGGTCCCCGACGACGGATCGGGGAAAGCGGGGGAGGGGGGGGGGAGGGGTTCCCCGACGACGGATCGGGGAAGGGGGGGAGGGGGTGGACGACGGATCGGGGAAGGGGGGGGGTCCAACCCCCCCCCCCCTTGGGGAGATCCAGCGGCGCACCGTCTGATTGGGACTCTGGTGCCACTCGAGCCTCGGCCAACACCAACACCAATATCGGGGGCGTGCCTCCACCCAGGGAACAAGATCCCGCTCTCGGTGATGGTGGTAATACTCTGGCTTCAAAGGTGCCCGAAATATTACCACCAACACCGAAATCTAGGATCATCTCCCCCCTGTGGAGGCACCGCCCTGTGTTGGTGTTGGTGCCCATTTCCAGGCCTCCAATTCTCGAAGAAGCGCAAGACGGCGTATGATTTTTTTGGTTGGAGGTCCGCGCGGGTGTCTTGGATCGACGCTGGGCATCCCGGCCGCGCCTGAGGTGCCGCCCCTGGCGCATTCCACACACCAGGGAAGGGGGTTCCAGCGCCGGTCCAGAAAGTCTGCGCGGACCTCTGAGAAATTACACGCCGGGCGTTGAAAGTAAGTATCTATGGATTCCCAGACCCCAGTCTGTGTCAAGCGCCTTCCTACCCGAAGAAATTCTATGTTTTGTTGCTTGTTCTCATTATCTGGGCGGGCCCGAACCCAGTCTATTTGATCCGCCTGCCTACTGCATGTTTTTGCCTACTTCTTCTGACTGGCGGGTACGGTTATGCCGCTTGGGCGTCGCGTAATGGGGGGGGGCGGAGCGATTAATGGGTCAGCGAGGACTGCAGAAGAGGGGCTCCCTGGGTCCCATCCGATCCACTTCGATCGCCGATCCGACTTCTTGATTCGACTCTCGCCTGCCAGTTCTTGCCCACCACGCTTTGGTTTGACACGCTACTCCAGATTTCGTATCAAAATGGAGGGGGTCTGGACCCTCCAAGACAAGCCATTTCAGACCCCCCCCGTGGGAGAACCCTCCAAAACATCGTCCCCAGACCCCCCCAGGCCCTCCAAGATAGCCTGGAAGAGACCCCCCCGAAATGAGACCCCCCTCCCTTTATGATGAAATCTGGAGTGTCCACGCCCCAGCCCCCGAGTGCCAGCGTCCCGAGCCCATCCCAGCCGCCAGGCCCCGCGGAGCTTCGCGGCACGCTGACCCCGCCGACAGGGGAGGTCCGCGCGGATTCCTGGGATCGGTGCTGGGGCCCCCCAGGTCGCCTCCGGCGGCGCCCCTGGCTCGGAGCCTGTTTTTCTTTTTATCCAGGCAAGCCTACTTGCATGGCGTTCGCCCCCCCCCTCCTCCCCTCGCCCCTCTTCAATCGAACACGAGCGTGCAAGTGCCTTTCGACTTGCGTGATTTCCGCACGTCGAATTGTTCTCGGCTTGCTTCAGACTCAGCCCCCCCCCCCCGTCCATGCAAGTAAACTTGCCCGAATCCAAAGAAAAACAGGCACCCGGCGGCGCCCCTGGCTCGCTCCGCGCGCCGGGGAGGGGGGTGCAGTGCCGATCCAAAGAACCCCGGTGGACCTCCGAGGGTTTATGTTTATGCCGCTTCGTGTTCCTCCAGAGACGAGCAGCAGCTGCAGCGGGAGCGCACTGGGGTGGGAGTGTGAGTGTGATGCAGCAGCTGCAGCAGGTAGTGTACGGGAGTGTGAGTGAGTGTGTGTGCGTGTGGAAGCTTTCGGCGAACGATGTCGGGCCTCATTGGCGGCAGTGATTTATCTCAGGGGGTAGACGCATTTCTGATGGAAGTGGCGGAAGCGGAAGCGAGGTCGATCTCGGGAAGATCGTTGCATTCGTCTACAGGCGCGCGAATCATTGTGTTGTTTTGTTGCCCTCTGTTGAGCATGCGATCAATGAATTTTTGTGTATGCTTGATGCGCTTTACTTCCAGCTTGCCTCTCTGTATTGACAGCTCCGACTTGAACGATCTACTTTGTCGTTCGTCCAATGTGTTCTTTTATAGCACACTGGAGGACAAACGTCTACACCTATTGTTCTTGTATGATGTGTTTTGGCGACTCGCCGTCTCTGCCTTCAACCTCTTGATGCCCACCTCGCGCGCACAGCATCAGCTCCCAGACATCATCCCCCGATCGATCTCACCCGCCTCGATCTCTCTCTCTCTCTCTCTGCATGGCCGTCATGCTCGAATCGCTGTGCTGCGTGACCTCTCAACTCCATGCACAGACGCACACACACTTACTTGTTTGGGCGTCGCAGCGTGCGCGCAGCGACAGGGCGGAGAGAGTCTTGGGACAGCAATCGCGCGCGCGCGTCTAGGACCAGGAAGGCCCGAGCCCAAAGTGACCGCCGCACACAGACAGACAAACACACACACACACACACAAACACACGAACACACACACACACACACACACACGCACGCACGCACGCACGCACGCACACACTCACACACTCACACACACACACACACACGCACGCACGCACGCACGCAAGCATACACACACACGCACGCGCGCGCCTCTCTGTCTTTCTCTGTCTCTCTCTCTCTCTCTCTCTCTCTTTCTCTCTTTCTCTGTCTAGTTGTCTCTTTTTCTCTTTCTCTCTCTCTCTCTCTGCATGGCCGTCGCGCTCGCACTGTTATGCTGCCGTGACCTCCCACCACCGTGTACAGACGAAAACACTCAAACACACACAGGCACCCACACACAAACACACACACACACACAAACCACACAACACACGCACCCACGCACGCACGCGCACGCGCACATGCACACGCACACGCACACGCACACGCACACACACACACACACACACACACACACACACATACGCATACGCACGCACGCACGCACGCACGCACGCACGCACGCACGCACGCGCACACACACGCCAGCTCCTGCTGTGGCTCCTCCTCCTGCTCCTGCTCCTCCTCCTCCTCCTTTCCAATATTTCTCCCTCTTGCCCGACCCCATGAGTTAGGAAGGGACGCAGGGAGTAGCAGGGTAGGGCCGCAGCCGCGCGGTACAGACATCTGTCATACTTCTGTATACTTACTTGCACTGCATACTGAAGCATATCCAATTCCACATATCTTTCTACCTCTTGCTATCCATTCATTGTCATTGCTATTGCACGCCTCACGGCATAACCAACCACTGACCTCCCCAGATCAAGTTGGTAGCGGAGCGGGCTCTGCCATCCGTGGCACCCCCTTTCACCAGCACAGTCATGAGCCACAAGGGATTTCAGTACGGACCGAAGGGCAAAGGTTACGGGACACCACCCGGAGTGGCACCTCCCTCGCCTTACCCACGAGCTTTCGGAGTAACCCCGCAGCATCCTTCCCCATGGTTTGGTCCAAGCATGCTCAAGGTGGCCCCAGCTTAGGGCACAAGCAAGCACACCAAGTAGTATTGTCTCTCACGGGTACCCCCCCGAGCTATGGCCCAAGAGCTGCACCAGGATTTCCTGACCGACGGCGCCGTCATAGATCTTGGGGACGGCGCAGGCCCTCAAAGCGTTTCTGGTCTTTTTTTCTTCTCCACAGGTTGTCAGAAAAGCCCGCGGAAGCGATCTCGAACATAGCATCCGAGCAATCAGCGAAATAATGTCGTTCACACGCTTGAATTGGGAGACTGTGGATGAGGCAATTCTTCGTTTCGACATCTTGGCGTATAGGGCGGCCGGGTTTGGTTTTGACATGACCCCCCCCTGGGAAGAGTTGGCGGTTGTTGCTAGCTCTGCGAGTTCCTGCGCACTTGTGGCCCCAGCTGTTCATGCAAGCTCAGACTGGGGGGAGCCTCTACAATATGATGATGCGTACAAGCGTCTACGACAGACCCTAAAGCAAACAGCACACTTCGTAGACACTTGCCCCAACAACGTTTCCATGATAATGCAGCAAAATCCTGTGACCGCACAAGGTGCGACATAGATGCACGATATTCTCGCAGTACCCCACGCTGCCACAAGGGAGTGCGGACAACCACTAGGACAGGTAGGACCAATCACCTTTGACCCCCCGGTCATGTTGGCATTTGGGATACCGTCAAGTGAGATGGGAACCCAGTCGGGCAATCCCGGGTCGTGTGAACAAATGCGGTTCTACGTCTGCATGTTTGTATTTTGATGACCCCCATTTCGACACAGACACCGAATCTGACGACGAAAGCGAGTTTGCGGAGGAATTTTTAGGTCTAGTGCCACAGTACGGGCATGGAAACGTAGCAGAGGATTTAGCAGCAGCTTACATATATCATCGTCGCAGGTTCCTTACGTTCATTGGTAAACGTAGTAGGAACACTCGTTTCGGGGCACGCCGAGCATTCCAAAAACATCGGGGCACAGCTTTTGGAGCGCGATTTGTTTGCAACTCTTTGTTGTAGTTGTGAAGATGGCAGCATTGAAGAACAACTTGTAGCTTTCAGGAGTCCCAACAAGCAGAGTTGGCGCAAGAACTTCCCAAAGGACAAAACCACATCGGGCCCGACGGCAAAATCTTGAAATGCTCACAGTGCGAGAGCGAGAGCCATTTCCGGCGGAACTGCCCCAATAACCATGAGCATCGAAACAGAGGCACGCCTTCGGCACCAGCTGGAAGGATGTTTGTCCAGACAATAGATAATGCCACGTACGTTGCGACGTCATCAGCTGATTTCGCAGCACACAGCACACGCACGCGCAAGCGCAAATGTATTCATTGTGCGATGGTGTCGAGTCGGGCATGAGTGAAGCATTACGCCCAGAGGGCACCTCCACAATGCCGACGCTTAGGAGTTCTTCCAACGCCGGCGCAGTAACCGCGCCCAGTAGGGAGATCAACGAGTGGATCCGAACATTGTCAGCAAACGTACGCAGCAACATCCCGAGAGCCCCGGAGAGCGCACCACCCAGGAACCCAGACGTCCAGAGACATTTCCCATGGATGTTGGTAGACAGCGAAGACACCGAACAAGCAGCATACAACGTGCATTTCCGAACCCGTTTGACCTCGGGGAGGGTCGGTCATCTTGTGGGTCCAGGTGCGTATGACAAGTTGTGCTGGGATGACTGGGTCAAGACACGGATCAACATTGTTTCAACATTTGGCTTGAAGGAGCGCTTCTACCCCCTATCACGGTCAATTGGGGTCGAAGGGGTAGGAAAAGGGGCACAAACAGTAGCTAATGCAGTCGAGGCGCCAGTTTGCATGGACGCGGATTCGAATCACAGCACATACGCCGCCCCCTGCGTTCCTAACTCGCCATTGCCAGGACCTTTAGGTTTGAAGACTTTGGAGCGCCAGGATAGCGTTTTGGATTGTAGGCCCAGTCGCCAGAAACTTTTTTTGGGACCGGTAAAGATTGAGCCCTTTTTCCAGTAGGGCTCACCAGCTCGAGAATTGGTTTTTTTTGTGTGATGGTTTTAGCCGGATACCATCAACAACAAAGATTGCGCAACATTCGTATCAATCTTCTTTAGCGCGACAAATGGACAAGCGAGAATCCCAAACCTTTGTTGGTGGATCGAGACAAGATCAACATCCACTTCCGTTATGCGCGCAGACGCACACTTTGAGCCATGAGCGCTGTCATGCGCATGATGACGGGTCCTGCGCTGTCTTGCGTTCAGGGGGTAAATGGGAGACCCGTCCCCCTCACTTCCTCGGTGTCCTCCCAATCTTGCAACTATATACACACCGCCTCCTCCCAGTTTTCCTAGCATTTCGTCTGATTCGTGCTGCGTGCCAGAGCCATGCGAAAAGCTTTCGCGAGCACTGCCAACTGCTGCTGCCGCGAACGCCCATGGAGGGTCCATTTGGTTGTTTACCGACGAGCGTGGTTACAGCACAATGTACATGCAGTTTTCCAGGGTCCGATCAAGACAGTTAACATGGACATATTCATAGTTAACAATCGTACGTATTGTAAGTCCGTACGGCAGAAAATGAATGACTTCAAACCTTGGTTGGTGTGGTTCAAATCGGTAGGACAAGAAGATGAACGCCACGAGAGCCTAGATGATGTGACGTGTCGCGTGTGTACCTGCTACTGCTACAGCAGACACACCACTGCAAGAACACCAATGATGAATTCTTGTCACAAACGTGTATGCAACCAGGCCCGAGTATGGAAGGGACGCAGGGAGTAGCAGGGTAGGGCTGCAGCCGCGCGGTACAGACATCTGTCATACTTCTCGGCCAGGATTAGTACGTCGACCCTGCCAGATCAAGGGTATCATTGTGTCCTGTGTCTCGCGACCCGTGCCTTCTGCATTCCTACGGCAGTGTGGCCCTCGGAGGGGTCTTTTGTCCTCTCGCGTGTCCTGTCCAATGAATTCCGCCTGTAGTTACTCGCGCTGCGTACTGAAACATACCCAATCCCACATCTCTTTCTATCTCGTGCCAGCCTTTCATTGTCATTCCTATTGCACGCCTCGCGGCCTAACCAACCACTGATCTCCCCAGACAGATCAAGTCCATGGCCCATGTCCTCTCGTCCTCCTCTTCTTCGCCTCCTCCTCTTCTGGCCACTCAGAGCGAAACCGCCGCTGCTCACCTGCGTGGCTGGAGCGGGAGACCCCTACTACAAACGCAACTATCATGTGCCCCGTAGCGGATAATTCTTGGCAGCGCGGCACCTCGCGTCAGGGCCGGTACGGCATTGCAGAGAGACGGAGGGAAGAGGTGAAAGTTCCCAGTCTTCTCCTCCTCCTCCTCCTCCTCGACTCCTGTTCCTCCCCCGTCCCCCTGCCGACGGCACGCATGTGTGGAAGATAACTGAGGCGGCGTTGCACAAGAAGACGCGTTTCTTGCAGCGGGCCAACATCTGAAGTGCGGCGAAAGTGCGACGGTAATTTCGAGTTGGCTGTTGCTTCATTGCGCGCTCAAAACTACGGTACCTACCTCTGCATGGGCCCGCGCGTGGCGCCGCTTGCCCGCTTTGGCCCGACGGGCCCGACTCGCAGGGGCCGCCTCCTCCTCCTCCTCCTCCTCCTCCTCTTCCGCCTCCTCCTCCTCCTCCTCGTCCTCCTCTTCCTCCTCCTCCCTCACTTTATCTCCACCTCCACCCCTCTGTATCAAGTCTGGCTCAGGTCCAGCTCAGGACGCAGCGCCGCCGCCTCTACGCCCTCGAGGGGCGGGGCCCCGCGCGGCCTGGGCGATTTGCGATGGAGAAAGCCGAGAGCGTGGCGGTCTGTTGTCCCGAAGGGGCTGGTCCGAGGTGGCCGTCCTTCAACACCCCGTGCTTGGAGAGCGTGGAGCCCGCCAAGCTGAGCTCGCCGCGGCCGCTGAGCGACCCAGGGCCGCTCACTGGAGCTCGTGAGCGAAAAGTATATCCGCATCCGCGGCCTCGCGGGCCGGGCCTCTGGGCCGCGACCCTGTGGACACGGGGCGTTCTTTCGCGGGTGCCCCGTGCGACCGCGTATCCGCGGGATCGCGCCCCGGAATCGAGACCGCGAGGGCGCGGACATGGATACATGTTCGCCACTCGTAAGGAGCGTCAAGGTCCTGGAGCGACCCCTTGCCCGTCGAGAACGGCCCCCACGCAGGGGCCACCGCCCTGTGCGGGTGGCTGCGCCAGTCGCTGCTGGAGGAGCGGGCCGCCGTGGCCAGGGATCTGCTCGCCAGGCACGCCGCGCTTGTGGCCGGGCTGGAGGCTCGGGCCGGGCGAAAGGGGGGGATTGGGGAAGGGGGGATTACGAAATCTGCTGCATGCAGCTGGTTTCGGCCTCACCGAGGGGCCCATTCCTCGATACATAGCCGCTTTGGGCGCCGGGAGGCGCCGGGAAAATCAGCTACGTGAGCTGATTCTCAAACCCCCCCTTTGCTATCCCCCCCTTTCGCCCGACCCGAGAGGCAAGGCTGTGCGCGCCGGCAGCCGGCGGGCCTCCCGGGCTGGCCTGGTCCGTGGCCGAGGCCTCGGGGAACAAGTGATATGTCAGCCACGCGCAGAAGGGGGGGAGGGGGGAGAGGGGGGGGGGGCTTCTTAGGGGCACTCCTGCTTCTTAGGAGGCGTGGGCCTAATCCTTCGATGGAAGGCCGCCGCCTTCTAAGTGGCAGCCGCCTTCTAATCCCCCCCTCTTGTGCGCGCCGCCAATAATGACATAATCATTGGAAAGAGTGTGTTCTACCGCTACTGGCGGAAAACCGGGGGGGGTCACTACCGGTTCGAACCCCTCCCCTCCCCCTCCGCAAAACCGGGGGGGTCGTCACTACCGGTTCGAACCCTTCCCCCCCCCCCCAGTTCATCATGAAAAGGGGGGGGCGTCACTACCGGTTCGACCCCCCCCCCCGTCGAAAACCGGGGTGTCACTACCGGTTCGAACCCCCCCCCCCCGTCGAAAACCGAGGGGGTGGCGGACAGTGGTGAGAACGGTGGTGGTGGGGACAGTGGTGAGGGGACAGCGGGACAGTGGTGGGGACAGTGGGACAGTGGTGGGGACTGTAGTGGTGGGGACAGTGGTGAGGACAATGGTGGGAACAGTGGGGACAGTGGACAGTGGTGGGGACGGTGGTGGTGGGGACAGTGGTGTGGGGACAGGGGGAGGTGGAAACAGTGGGACAGTGGAGGGTACAGTGGTGGTGGGGACAGTGGTGAAGGCGGTGGCGAGGACGGCGGTGGGACAATGGGACAGAGGTACAGTGGGGACAGTGGTGGGGACAGTGGGGACAGTGGTGGGAACAGTGGGACAGCTCAGTGGGACAGCGGAGGAGTCAGTGGGACAGTGGGGACAGTGGGGATAGTCGGGCAGTGGTTGGGGCCGTGGAGAAAGTGGGGAGAGTGGAACCGTGGTGGGAACAGTGGTGGGGACAGTGGGGACAGTGCGACAGTGGTGGGAGCACTGGTGGGGACAGTAGGGACGGTGGTGGAACCAGTGGGGACAGTGGTGGTGAGGACAGTGGTGCTGGGAACAACAGTGGGGGATGTGGCGCGGACGGTGGTAGGGACCGGGAGTCGTTTGCTGGCGGTGAGGTGGGGAGGGGTTCGAACCGGTAGTGACCCCCCTCCGGTTTTCGAGGGGGGGGGGAGGTTCGAACCAGTAGTGAACCCCCCCGGCTTTCGAGGGGGGGGGGGGGGGAGGGGTTAGGGGAGGGGGGGGGGAGGGGTTAGGGGAGGGGGGGGGGAGGGATCCAGCGGGGGGGGGGGGATTCGGAGGGGGGAGGGGGGAACCCTGGGTTCCGGAGGAAGAGGGGGGCAATTTTCCACAGTAAAGCGGCGGTGGATCACGCTCTCTCAATCATTGGGAGGTCCGCTCCGGTTTCTTGGATCGGTGCTGGACCCCTCTGGCGGTGCTTCCAGCGCAACACCCAGCGCGTTCCGCGCGCCAGGGAGGGGTGGTCCAGCGCCGATCCAGTAAATCCGCGCAGACCTCATAAAGTGTATGCTCATCACTACTTACTAAGCCACCCCCGCCCAACCCGAAGGCCCTGGACCACTCCAAACTTCGGGCTAGGGGGTGTAAGGGCTCAATCGTGTTACGTCACTGCTATGGAGTGCCCCCCCTACCGGACACTGATGAGCCCGACGATGACTTCAGGTTGGGTTGGGGTGGTTTGATAGGGACAGCAGCCAGCTGTTGTCATCCTTCGTTCCCCTCAGGCCGCCCAGGGCGGCGCCACCTCGCGCGCGCACCTCGGGGGGGCGCGGGCCGCGTCGTGGGACCCGGAGCAGGGCGGCGGCGGCACGCCCGGCTGCGCGCACGTGGTCGGGGGAGGTGGCCGGAGGGGCTCGATGTATACCCCAATGGTTTGTAATAAGAGCTCGGACGAGCACTGGGCCAAGACACGTCCTGAGGGTCACCACCTGGTCCAGGCACGTCCTTTCCTCCTCCTCCTCCTCCTCCTCCTCCTTCTCCTCCTCCTCCTCTACCCCAGGTGCTCGGGGTCACAACCGTCCCAGACGAGCAGTTTTAGAGCCCACCCAGACCAGCCGTGAAAGGGTGGCCTGATGCCCAGAATCCGCTGGAGCCCTCCAAAACGGTTCAAATCAGACCCCTCCCCCCAGATCAGACCACCACCCTTTTATTGTGAAATCTGGAGTGCCCATACCCCCTCGAGGTTTAAAAAATCACGACGGGCGGTTTTTTATTATCTTGAGCCTCTGGGGGCCCTCACCGGGTCTCGGGGCCGTCAGAAAACGATTCAGGACGAGAAGCCGGTCCCGGTGGGATGGGTCGAAATTTTTGGGGGTCGATGTTATGAACAAATCTCATCAGACGTTATGAAAATAGTGGCGTGGGGTGGGTGGGTACAGTACGTATCTGGATATATTGTGGTGCGGAGCTGGGGATCCGCGGACCTTTCCCCGAGAGGGGTGTCAATCACTTCTTTTCCTCATCAATCAACTCGCGAGCCAAAACGGCTCAGATACAGTACATATCACTGCTGGCCATCACCACCTTATCAACAACCCATGAAACTTACTTGTCCTACTCACTTCTCCCATCTTGTCATCTCATTTACAATGTTTCTTGGACTTCTCGAGTCCGACTGCGTATCTTATCCAAGGAAATATTCGCATCTGGAAACATCTCGATCTCCCCTTGATTCTGAGTTACCTCCCATGAACCGCCGATCGAAGCAGCCAATCCTCCAGAAATCCGTACAGCTTCCTGGTTTTGTCATTTCTGGTATCCATCATGGCTGTGTAGACGCACGTCTTGACAACCACAAGCTTCGTGTCCATGTTGTGTCCAGGGCTCACGTCTCTCTCGCGAAGGTACTTCCTGGCCTCCTCGACCGTGATAGCATTGAACACCATTGTCAACTACTTCTCGATGATCTCTGCAGTCTCCTTGTTCCTGCAAATGTCCTCCAGGCTGTACCGAGGCAAGGTATCACGCTGGGTTGTCGTAATCGTCCATCTCCGCGTCTTGTAAGTGCTGGTCGTCATGATGATGACACGGACGGTGCCCACCACCATGATCATGTTGTTGTAGATGATACGTAGCCAAAGCGGTTGATCGTAGTCTGCTCCAGAACTGCCATCGGTCCAATTGTGTGGTCCACAATTTCACCCGCGGCGTCAGCCCGTCCTAGTTGTAGCGCACCGCCGACTCCCACGAGACAACGAGTTAGTGCCTCGAGTAGGTCGGCAATTGGCTTGCCAATCTGGCTCCTTATGCAGGTGTGATCTCGACCTCCGGCCTGATACTGCATCGACTTCTCCTTTGCCTCCAAGTTTGACTCCCATGATCTCGAACAGTCGCATGACACCAACTCTAGTCAGGTACTTGGTCCCGATGTCCGCCGTGTTGACGTCGGTATGGATCTTCCTCGTGCTGACCCTGGTCTCCTCCTTCCTGGCTACCAGGTCCCTAACCCACAGATCCTTCAGCTCGATGTGTCGCATGCGTCCCACTTCTTTCTTCTCGACGTTGGCGAGGGCGCTGCTATTGTCGCTGCTATGCACGTTGCATGCAAGAAAGGTATACCCCTAAGGGGGTGCGATCGAAGACGAAGAGGGCGGGTATCGAGGGTGTGGGATATACGTGTTGAATGGCACGCGAGCAGATAAGAGCGGACAGTCCTAAGCTGATTGTTGTTGTTGTTGGTGGTGGTGGTGTTGTTATTGGTGTTGCTTGCTTGCTTGTTTGTTCGTTTGTTTGTTTGTTTGTGGGTGCGTGTTTTGAATACTACGCTAATGTGTTCGTCCAGCCAAAATGGAAACAACAGCTACAGCCCAAAACGGAAACTAAAGCTGCAAAACACAACGGGACCGAGCAACGGTTACACACAGATGACAAACGTTGCCCTGAAAGGAACAGCAGCGTCGATCTTGAAAACGACCCCCCCCCCAGTGTTTTTGACATCATTTGATCTAAGTCGTTGGCCGATCACACGGCGTGGTGTGTATTTCGAGCGTCTATGCAGGCGAGGCGGGGCAGACCCTCGCCTGGCCGGAGAGCCCAGAGGGGGCGCTGCCGCCAGCAGAAGACCGGCAAAGGGAGAACATGTAGTACAGTCGAGCATTTGATTGAGTCGGGGACGGCAAAGAGGGGGGTGATGACTGGGGGGGTGGGGTGGATATCATGGCGGGAACCATGATATCTCCCCAGATCTCATGGCGCCTCTTCTTATTTCAATACGTCCCCAGGCCCCCCCCTGGGCAGCGCACGTGCTGCCGGCCATGATTTGCGCCCCCCCCCCTTGGACGCCTCCCTCTTGGCCGCCCCCGATTCAGAAGCCTCCTCCCGAAGAGCTGGGTCAGCGTTTCGTAACCAGCTTGCCAGAGAGCTGGCCCAGTTCGTTGAGCACGTTCGCCCCTCCAGCCTTTCAACAGCGATTGGCCCAGCCTTGGTTTAAGAAACTTCTGGGAAGCCAGCCCAGGTTTCTAACATGATAGTTTTCTTCGTCATATAGTCGGCTGCCGATTTTCGGATGCCCGTGCGGACTTCCCGCGCAGGCGGCGATGTGCCCGCGCGGACTTCTTGCGCCAGCGGCGATGTACTCCCTTCCCTGGCGCGAACCCAGACCCCCTCGGGTCATGAAAAAATCACGGCGAGAGGTTTTTGGCAATTTTCTGCCTCTGTGGGCCCTTGCCGGTCCCAGGACCGTCAAACAACGACTCAGGATGAAGCACCAGCCCCGGGAAGTGGTCGAGAGGTCGGGGGCCCGTGTCTCGAAAAAAATCGAGACGCCAGATGTCCGGGTCCTAGCCCAGCGGCGTTGGACTCCCCTCCCCGGCGCGAAGGGATCGCGCCAGGGCGCCTCCGGGTGCTGGGAGAGGGTTCCAGCGCGGACCTAAGAAGTCCGCGCGAACCCCGATAAAGCTGATGCCCGTATCTCCTTTTGGGTCTTCTGGCCAGCATCTCGGCATCGCGGCAGGGCGCTGCGGAGCACCGCCGGCTCGTCGGAGCAGCGCGCCCACAACAGGTCGGCGAGAGCCTCTGAGGCATCTGGCCGCGGCTCGATTCGCTGGAGCAATGTGCTGGATACCGCGAATCAGAAGGCTCCAGGCCTCCCAAATGGAGCCGGAGAAGATGGGGTCGGATGGTCTCGCCGCGTCGCCGATGCATCGGCGACGCGGCTCCATGTTGAACCCCATTTTTCCACGCCGACGTCGCCGACGCATCGCCGATACATCGGCGACGTGTCGGCGATGCGGCACGATCGTCTGACCTCACCTGCTCGGACTCCATTTGGAAGGCCTTCAGAGGTGGTTCGCAAAGCACACCGCCTCTTCCACCAACTGAGGAGCCGAAGAAGCAAGATCGGCACACATAATAAGCATAACCTTTCAGAGGTCCCTGCGGGTTCCTTGGATCGGCGCTGGACCCCCCCCTCCTTTGCAGCGCCTCCGGCGCTGCCTCTGGCGCGCTCTGCGCGCCAGGGAGGGTGGTCAGTGCCGATCCCAGAACTCCGCGCGGACCTCCGAAAGTTCATTTTTCATGCATGCCATGCCGCTCTTTCTTATTCTGAGGCAGCCCTCGAGTCAAGAGGTGGGGAAGTTTCGCCAGGTCGTGACGAGCAGCAGGATGGAGCTCGCCTCGGCCGTGGTCATAGTCGTGACCATATTGTGCGTGGCGCTGGAGGTTCAGTACCACGGTTTTCAAATTGGCTTGGACCTCGGTTATCGTTGGTATAGCATGACCCCCCAGGAGAGGTGGCCTTTCGCGGAGACCTTGTTCTTGGTCATGGATTATGCCTGTGGGGGCGCGCTCACTATCGAGCTGTTGCTGAAAGGGATTGCCCTTCGTAGCGATGTGTTTCAAGATTGTTGGAACTTCATGGACCTCATCGTCACGTGTTGTTGGTATATTGAGGTCATTGGCGAGACCATCGTACCAATAGACCCGTCGATGCTTCGCATGGGGCGACTAGTGCGGCTTTTCCGCCTGCTCAAGCTGGCGAAGCAGATCCAAGGCTTCGACTCGTTGTACCTGATGACTACTGCAATTCGTGGCAGTGCTGCGTCGCTTGCGTGGTCTTGCTGCTTACTTAGTTTATTCCAGGTCGCTGTTGCGCTCGCTGTCAATTGGGTTTTGACCACCTGGTATCTCGAGAATGATTCCTACCCCGAGGAGGACCGCCTGCAGGTGTTCGAGTATTGGGGCTCGTTTTCCAGGGCGTTTCTGACCACCTTCGAGATTACCTTGGCAGACTTTCCCGAACCCTGCAGGATGCTGTCCGAAAATGTCAGTGAGTGGTTTGTGGTCTTCTTTCTTACGCACAAGCTCACCATCGGTTTCGCCGTGATCGGTGTGATCAATGGCGTCTTTATACAGCTGCCTGCGGCAATTCCGCCACCATGCTAGCGCAGCACACTGTGTGGCGAGTTTTCGGGCACCGCCAATATGGCCAAAGTATGTGACGCCTCTCGTCTCTTGAGGTTGATGGGACATCCTGTGGCTTACCTGGACCGTCTCGGGGGTGTCTTGGGCTCCTGTGGGCCGCCTTGGGGCCGTCTTGGGCCGTATTAGAGCCGTCTTGTGTCCCTCTCGGCCGTTTGGGGAGTCTCTTGAGGGAATCGTGGGCCCTCGTGAGCCATCTTGAGGCCCTCGTGAGACATCCTGGGGCTCTCTTGGCCCGTATTGGGGCCTTCTTGAGGTCTTACCGGGCGGTCTTAGACCGTCTGGAGGCGGCTCTGGGGACCATCACGGGGCTATTTTGGGCTCTCTCTGTAGCTCCTCTGAGGTCCTATTCGAACCATCTTGAGTCGAGAGGCGCGGAAAGCAACAGTCTGCGAACTCCTGAGGGACTCCCTGTTCCCAACCCTCCTGTGTTGGGTTCTCGTTTTGAACAGAGCGCTGTCTGGTCCGTTCCTCCTTCCTCCTTCCTTCCTTCTCCTCCTCTTTCTCCTCTGCCTTCCTTCTACTCCTCTTCCTCCTCCCCCCCTTCTCCTCCTCCTCTTCCTCCTCCTCCCTCTTGCTCCGTGGGGGGCTGCGAACTGAGAAACTGCCGCCAGTTACGTGGGCTCCCTGGAGGTCCAGCGGAGTGGATGTGTAAACAGATCCCACCGAGACCTCGCGGCTCCCTGGGGGGGCGGTGGCTGCGAACTGCGCAACTGTCGCCAGTTTCGTGGGTTCCTGGGAGGTCCAGCGGAGTGGATTTGTAAACAGATCCCGCCGAGACCTCGCGGCTCCCTGGAGAGGGGGGGGGGATTGCGAACTGCGCAACAGTCGCCACTTTCGCGGGCTCCTGGGAGGTCCAGCGGAGTGGTTCCAGCACCACAGCCGCGCCCGCGCGCACAACGACGATGAGCGACGAGCGACGAGCGACGAGCGACGACGATGACGACGACGACGACGATGACGACGACGACGACGACGGCGACGACGACGACGACGCAAGCAGCATGTAGGTGTCGATCTGCCCCACAGCGCCTGTGTACACCACAGTGCTCGGGTGCACAGCGCGCGTGTACACCAGAGCGCCTGCTTACACCGCAACAGCCGTGTGCAACGCAGCGCCTGCGTACACCACAGTGCTTGCGTGCACCACAGCGCCGGTGTACACCACAGCGAATGTGTACACCGCAGCATCCGAATGCAACGCAGCGCTGGTGTACACCACAGTGCCTGCGTGCACAGGACAGGTAGAAGGAGCATGTATGCGAGGATCTGCTGGGGACAGCTAAACGCCACGCCAGGGAAGTGCTGATGATACAATGCGACGTTCTTCCCTGCTCCCTCCTCCACCTCCACCTATTCCTCCTCCTCCTCCTCCTATTCCTTCTCCTCCTCCTCCTCCTCCTCCTCCCTTACCCTTCCCCCCTGTCGTGCCGGTCGGCACTGAAGCGTACGTGCTCATTTCAGCGTGCACCGCAGAATGGTCTATTTGATCAGTCCGCTTGGTTCTCGGACGGCCAATTTTGCTGCAGCCTCCTGAACGCGGACGGGAGAAGTTAGGATGATTCGGGCTGACTCGTAGGTTCCAGCGGCGCTCCTTTTTCCATCAGGATTCCTCAAAGCAACTTTTGTTCTCGAATGTACAGGCGCTCCATTTTGTTATAAGGATTCTTCATTCAATTCTATATGCAGCAGTGGTGCTCTCTTGTACACGATTGCTGTGGTGCACACAGGCGCCGTGGTGTACACAGGCGCTGTAGTGCGCTGTCGCGCGATCCGTTACCCGGAAGAAATCAAACTAGGGGGAGTTTGAGAGGGGTGGCATTTCCAGTTTCAGGTTGAAAATTCATCCTCGTGTCGTAAGCTCGCGTAAGCTCTGCGTAAGCTCCGCGTAAGCTCGCGTAAGGTCGCGTAAGCTCGTGTAAGCTCCGCGCAAGCGCGTGAACCCCTCGTAATTTGGAGGCGTCTTGGGCTGTCCTAGGGGCCTCGGGTGCTCCAACGCGTGAGCTCTGCGTGAGCCCCGCGTAAGCTTTGCGCAAGCTCGCTTAAAAGCCCCGCGTAAGCGCGTAAGCTCCTCTAAGAGAGGCTTAAGATGGCCGCAAGACGGGCCGCCAAGATGCCCCAAGGGGCTCCCCAAGAGGGCCTGGGAAGGCAAAACAGCTCAAGAAGGCTTGAGGAGGCTGCATACATAGAGAGCGCTCCAAGACGGTCCACGATGGTCCAAGAGCGCTCCAGAACGCTCCGAGACGGCCCACGAGCGCTCCTAGACTATCCAAGATGGCCCAGGGGCGCTCCAAGATAGTCCAAGAGCGCTCCAAGACGCTAACACACACACACACATACACACACACATTCACACACACACACACAAAGTCGCGCCCTGACGGCGCATTGGCGAGATCTGACTGAAAACATATGCGAACCTGCATGCACGAAGATGTGACACATTGCGACCGCTAAGCCTGCGCGGTGCCTCGGGGGCTATCGTTGTACCCTTTGCTCCAACGTAGTGCGAGGGATAGCTGCGCGGCGCGCCAGGGGGCGAGGAGGAGGGAGGGAGACGAGAGGAAGGCTGAGACGTACAAAGAGCGCTCCAAGACGGTCCACGATCGCCTCAAGGCGGCCAAAGAGGCATCGAAGACGCCCCAAGAGGCCCCCCAAGAGGCCCCCCAAGAGGCCCCCAAGAGACCCTGAAGAGGCTGAATTGCTTCAGGTGGTTGATCGTTTTTTAGCTTCTCGCAGATTCGGGCCAAGAACGCCCCGAGACAGCTTTGGAAGTCCCCGAGATTACGTCAAGACGGCCCAAGAGGCTCCCAAGAGGGCCTCAAGACGGCCCAAGAGGGCCCCAAGAAGGCCAAAGAGGGTCCCAAGAAGGCCAAAGAGAGCTCCAGTTGACTGCCCAAGGAGGGCCCCAGAGTGCCCCAAGAGGCTCACTCGGAAGCCCAGAACACGGCAACAAGGGTCACAACGCGACATTCCAGTCAAGAGAGCAGGGTTAAGGGAACACATGATATGATGAGAGAAGGGCGAGGGAAAGATGGGAAAGAAGCGGAGGAATAATTGATACGCAAGCGACCTCTCGTGCTCTTTCCGTCCCCGTGCTAAGCAGGTTCTAACACGCCCACCAGGGGCGCTCTAGAAAGGGCTTCACCTTCGAGGCATCGAGGACTTGGCATATTTTCGGCAGAAGGCGGCGGAAGGCCAGCGGAAGGCGGCGGAAACAAAACGAGGGCTGCTCCGCTGGATGACGCCGGCGGAAACAAAACATCCCCCCAGTAGATATCTGTTTTGTTACCTAACAGCGAAGACTGATAGGTTTCTAGTGGGGTCAAAAGAGAGCATCATGACTCCTCAGGGGGGTCGGGGCGGGACCCGGGGCGGCTGCCGCCGGAGCCGAGATCGCTCGGGACATCCTCGCAAAGTCGCTCTTGGCGCTCCCAGAACTCCATTCCCGGGCCACATTTTGAATGCCCGGAGCCAACTGTAGGCCACTTCGTGATCTTCGACTTCCCAGAACTCCATTCCCGGGCCACATTTTGGATGCCCGGGCCAACTGTAGGCCACTTCGTGGTCTTCGAGTTCCCAGAACTCCATTCCCGGGCCACATTTTGGATGCCCGAGCCAACTGTAGGCCACTTCGTGGTCTTCGAGTTCCCAGAACTCCATTCCTGGGCATGATTTTGAATGCCCGGAGCCAACTGTAGGCCACTTCGTGTTCTTCGAGTTCCCAGAACTCCATTCCGGGCCACATTGCTTGGCAATGCTGAGGCTGAGGCAGGCTGAGGATGAGGCAGGCTGAGGCTGAGGCCGAGGCTGAAGGCAGACTGAGGCTGAGGCTGAAGCAGGCTGAGGCTGAGGCTGAGGCAGGCTGAGGCTGAGGCTGAGGCAGGCTGATGCTGAGGCAGGCTGAGGCTGAGGCTGAGGCTGATGCAGGCTGAGGCTGAGGCAGGCTGAGGCTGACGCCGAGGCTGAAGGCAGACTGAGGCTGAGGCTGAAGCAGGCTGAGGCTGAGGCTGAGGCAGGCTGAGGCTGAGGCAGGCTGAGGCTGAGGCTGAGGCTGTGACTGTGACTGTGACTGCCGTTGCCACTGCGACTGTCATCGCGAATGCGACTACGACTGCGAGAACAGCAGAATTCTACAACTGGATTCTCATCTGAATCCTAAGGGGAATGCTTCCAGATATGCTCCTACACATCGCTGTTAGGTTGCTTTGCCGGGATAATTGGATTCAGAGTTGAACGAGCCACATGCGTCGGCCACATCGTACAGGCACGGTGGCGGATCCAAGAAACGTTCAAGGTCGCCACAACGGACGATTTGCTCATGATCAGGCAACGTGAGCAGATAGTTAAGACGCACGCGCGCAAGATGGAGCGGCTGTTCCAGGCCGCGGACGACACGGGGGACGGGCTGCTGGACGCGGACGAGTTCAAGGCACTGAGATCTGCGTGTCTATTGGAAGCCGAGTTCGAATTCAAGAAACTAATATTTTGAAGTTTGGGTGCCTTTTGAATTCAACTGCGGCTTCCAAGAGCACGCACGCAACCTCCTCGTTCTAGGCGATCATGCAGGAGCCAGACGTGCAGACGTGGATGGCCTCCATGGACCTGGATGTGGCAGACGCCAGGATGTCAGAGGAGAAGCAAATACCGCTACCGCTAACTTTTCCCTTGTCGCCACAGCTGGATTCGTTTCTAAAGCCTGGTCAGAACGCGCCCCAGAGAGGTCCGGGTGGTATCGGTATCGGTATCGGCCCTGAGAGGAAAAAGCTGCATTCTTGTTATTGTTTGGAGGTCCGCGCGGATTTCTTGGATCTGCGCTGGCCCCCCCCGCCCCTGGCGTGTTCTTCGCGCCAGGGAGAGTGGTCCAGCGCAGATCCAACAAACCCACAAGGGCCTTCGAAAGTCTATGCTTATGTAGTTTTACCTTCTTCCAAGGCTGGTTTTTAGTTT